TTCATAGCACCCCCAGAGCTCCGGTTCAGTCAGACATAGCCACCATGCCTTTTGAGAGCCCCAGGCAGGATGCTACTTCAGGATAACGGTCCACAGGCCAGGCTTGGGCTGTGGTGGTGCTGCAGCCTAGGACTCTGTAGCCACATGAAAGGCTCAGCTATTTTTGCTTGGAAGTCAGGCCTTGGTGCTTGGGGTTATGTAATGAGATGTGGCCCTGGGCCCATAAGGGGCTGGGGCTGGGGACTGTGGTGGGTTGGCACTGCAGGAGCCTGTAGGAACAGTCTCAGGAGAGACCCAAGCTAAGGGCGTTACCCGGCCCTCCTTCCTTCTCCATTGGTCAAGGCTGCTGAACCGGGTTGTGCGGCCGCTAATTGCAAGGGGCTCAGGGCAGGGTCTCTGAAGTGTTTTCAGATTGAGCAGAAACCCTGGCACTTTCTGGGCCCCTGAAATTACAGGTTGCAAGTGAACCGCCCAGCCTGTGCTCTACACCGCAGGCCTGCCCACACCCCATAGATGCCACAGCAGGGCCCCACACGTGTCCCAGAAACCGCGGGACGTGGTAGGAGACACTGAAGAAGGATGGAGCTTCTCCCGTAGCTGACTAATGCCTGAAGATGCAGGATCAGAGGGCGGCAGGGGCATCCTACAAAGAGCCAGTGCCCTTTTTTGAGCCCCATATTTTCCAAGCAACGTCCTAGATCAGTGGTTCTCAATCTGTGTGTGGCTCGCAAGCCCCAAAGGGTCATATATCAGATATCCTGCATCTCAGATACATTATGAGTTACAACAGTAGCAAAGTTACAGTTGTTAGGTAGCAAGGAAATACTTTTATAGGTGGGGGATCACCACAACAGGAGGAACCTTATTAAAGGGTCACAGAATTAGGAAGACTGACAAACACTGACGTAGACATAGAGTTAGGATTGGACCCCAGACAAGCAAAGTTCTTTGTCCCTGCTGACCCGGCTCACTCATTCTGGCCTGACAATAATCCCGAGCTGCCTCAGTGGCACCACGTGTGCTCCCGACCACCTCAGGACCTTTGCACATCCTGCCCAGCTGCTGGGAACTGTCCTGCAACCACATCTTCCTAAATACCTGCTCTCCATCTTTGAGGGCAACTCTGTAGTCACTTACGGCAGAGGAAGCCTGGGACCAGACTGGACTCCCATGGCGCACGGAGCCCTGAGCAACCCTTCCCAGCTCTCTGACCAGTGTGCAGTCAGTCAGAGGTCTCCAGGTCCTCCCTTGGAGGTTCACTTGCTTACTGTGGTTCTCCTACCTCTTGTGAGCTCGGCCTGTCTGTTCATCACTGGCTCTGAGGACCTGACTGGATCCCACAGTCTCCGGATGTATCCGCAGAACGAGTGAAATCTGAAATGTCTTCAGGTGGGGGAGCCTGAGGGTTGGCAGTGAATGGCCATCGGCATCTGACCGGAAGCCATGTTCAGCTGTGGCCCAGAGGAAGTGCTGTGCTGTGGCTGTGCTTCTTGTCTCTGCTCATGAGTGGCACCTGCTGAGCACCTACAGGTCATGGGTGTGGTGCAGGGTGAGGAATGGTGTGGCTATGTGTGTGTACGTGTGTGCTATGTGAGCACATGCACATGTGGACAGGCGTGTGTGTGTATGTGCGTGTATGTGCATGTGTGTATGTGTGTATGTGCGTGTGTGTATGTGCACGTGTGTATATGTATGTGTGTATGTGTGTGTATGTGCATGTGTGTATGTGTGTGTATGTGTGTGTATGTGTGTATAAGTATGTGTGTATAAGTATGTGTGTATGTATGTGTGTGTATGTGTGTGTATGCATGTGTGTATGTGTGTGTATGTATGTGTGTATGTGTGTGTATGTGTGTATATGTATGTGTGTATATGCATGTGTGTATGTATGTGTGTGTATGTGTATATATGTATGTGTGTATGTGTGTGTATGTATGTGTGTATGTGTGTGTATGTGTGTGTATGTGTGTGTATGTATGTGTGTGTATGTGTGTGTGTATGTATGTGTGTGTATGTGTGTGTGTGTATGTGTATATGTGCATATATGTATGTGTGTGTTTTCAGACAGTCCCTTTCCCAAGGCACATGGAGGTAGGAAAGGGTCTGTGCTGTGGGAAGAGACCAGTCAGAGGTGGGTCACTGGCCTGGTGGTGACACTTTCACAGGTTGGAAATAGAATCTGGTGTATCAGGGGGTGCCCGATGGCCAGCCTTCCATTACCTAGGGCCTGCCACTCGACTCTGAGCCTCAGTTTCCCATTCTGGTACAGGGCATCATTCTCTCACGTCTCCACAAACACCAACAGAGCTGCGTTCCGGTGCCACAGCACCAGGCTCTGCAGGGCAGGTGTCACCCGGGTGGCAGGGGGCGGGTGCTCAGCATCTTTGGGCTCTGGCATCCCCAGGCTCAGCAGAAATGACTGCGTTTGTACTGAGTACGATCAGGCTTTTCCTTGACATGTGCCTTCCATAGCAGAGTGGAGTGACTGTCTGTACCCACCGTCACCCAGCAGGAGTCAGCCACCAGGAGGCAGCTCAGCGGCCCCAGTGGCATGCATGTAGTCTTGGGTCCCATGAAGTACACGCATGGGGGGCTGAAACCTCAGCACTCAGGATCAGAAGCTCAAGAATACACTCGGTTGTGTGTCAAATTTGAACCAGCCTGGGGTGCAGGAGACTCTTGTCTAGAAAGAGAAGAAAAAGAAAGAAAGACAAAAGGAAAAGAGAGGAAAATCCATCAAGTCACACCAAGACGAGGTAAGGGACGCCGGGTTTGGGGTGGGAACAGGCAAGGATCTACACAGTAGAGTTGGAGCAGAGACTTGAACATGCGTGGACTCTACCATCTGAGTCTGGAACCAGACCCAACCACCACCAAGGTAGGACCTTGTCTTCCTTGGGGCAGAAGACAGAAGTGTGTAGACCCCTGATCTGGGACCCAGGCTGTCTGTACCCCAACCCTTGGTCTACCGTGCGTGTGTTATGTGTGTTATGAAGGCTTCTGTGGTAGAGTATTGCTAGTGTGGCTAAAACCTTAGCTGAGGACATGATTGTCCTCGGTCACCCCGTTGAGCCTTCACCCAGGGAAGGGAAGAGACCAGCAGACACTGAGCTGACTGAGCATTCTGCACAGATGCTGGACAAGGAGGGAGGGTCAGGCCTGTAGCCGAGGCGTGTAGGAAACTCCCAGAAGCCTGAGGAGGCTGAGAATTGGGCTCCCCCTTGAAAACCAGAGTTCTGACACAAGTCCTCAGTCTGTTGAGAACAGGGCCTGCTCCCTGGGAGGAGGAGGCCCTGGGGAGGGCTGGCTGCTCCTGATGGCCAGTCTAAGACAGGCTAGCCAGGGCCAGGGCCATCCTCACCCCATTGTTTTGAAGTAAAGGGAGGGGGCACAGGCCTGCATGCCTGTGTGTGTCCCTGGTAGATATCCCTCTCCTCCTCCCTCCACGGTCGGGTGTAGGAATCAATTCAAGGGAAAGCAGGGAATCTTCCATTCTGATTTCCAAAGGACTGGCCTCTTTTGGACCAGTAGGGGTTGCTGGGACTGCTGCAAGGCACAGCCATACTGGGAAGACCCAGCTCCTAACTGTGCTGAGATGAATGAACCCCTGTATGTTAGCCCTGCAACTCTCGCCAGGCAGCTCCGTGCAGCAGACCTCTTTCCTGTTCTCCCTCTGTCCCTCGTGCCTCCTGGTCACACCAGCTCCTTCCTGGCCATTGCCACTGGGCCGCTACCCGAAGTGCCTTGCTAGGCCCCCTTTGTGGGATCCCAGGGTGTATTAGCCTCTCTGCCTGGCTCCCCTGTGACCCTCTCCTGACATGGAACCCCCTCTGGTTTGAAGAATGGCAACACACACCCCGTGATGAGTCTCGGTGCACACAGCTCTGGAAGCCTGTGAGCTCTTAGAGGTGGGGCTGTCTGCATCCTGTCTGGCTGGGTCCTGTTCAGCCCTGACCTTCAGTGTGGAGATGCGTCGGCCATTCACTGGAACAAGTGCATGAGTGAGTGAATTAATGAATGAGTGAATGAGTGAGTGAATAAATGAGTTAGTGAATGAATGAATAAATGAGTGAATGAATGAGTGGATGAGTGAGTGAATGAATGAGTGAGTGAATGAATGAATGAGTGAATGAATGAATGAGTGGATGAGTGAGTGAATGAATGAGTGAGTGAATGAATGAGTGAGTGAATGAATGAGTGAGTGAATGAATGAGTGAGTGAATGAATGAGTGAATGAGTGAGTGAATGAATGAGTGAATGAGTGAGTGAATGAGTGAGTGAATGAATGAGTGAATGAGTGAGTGAATGAGTGAGTAAATGAGTGAATGAATGAGTGAATGAATGAATGAATGAGTGAGTGAGTGATAGGTCCCATGGATCACTGGTCAGTTACCCATGGTGCTTCAGGGTCAGTTAATTACCATCCTCAGGACCAAGCTGCTGTTTGACCTCCCCCATCCCCTTTCTACTTCTGTGGAATGGGCTCATAGTTTCTGCTCAAGCTGCCCTACTGGGGCTTTGTGAGGCTTCAGAGTTCAGGATGCCAGTCCCTCAGGGAGCTCCCCCCATCCCCTAAGAATGGAGAAACTGAGGCCTGGGGAGGAACGGCCAGGGCAGTGCCTGAACTTCCCTGAGATATCCCCATTCCTACTCTGCACCCTAAGCCTGGAAATCCTGAGTCACAGCTGGAATGGTCCACTGCCACAGAGAGTTTTCCTTCCCACTTCCAGGGGCCCCAGAGCCTCCTGACCTCATCCTTCAGGGAATGTGGGGGATGGGATGGACCTCAGCTCAAGGTCCTGGAAGCCCCTCTGTCTGTCAGTCTGTCTGAGTCTGCCCAGGGGACCTGAGGTGAAGAAGAAGCAAGCTTGGAGGGTGAGGAGGGTGGGACTGTGTGTGGCCCAGCATAGTCCCGCCCCACAGTGTCCCCACCCCAAGCCCTCTTAATGAAATCAAGCTGGCCCTCCAGCCCAGCGGGGAGGAGGAAGGGGGAGGGCCTGGAGGCTGAGGCGGGCAGGCACCAGCCAGAGCAGCTGGCGGCAGACGGCAGGCAGGCAGTCGGACCGTCTAGCGGGCCTGGCTTGCCTACCTGGCAGCTGCACCCGGTCCTTCACTCAGAGCTGGTAAGTCCCGGCCTGCTGCTGCTGGGGACTCTTGGAGGACTTCACAGAGTCCCTAAGTGTGTGTGTGTGTGCAATCTGCGTGTGTGTTAGAGGCCGAGAGCACGCATGTGATGATGTGTGTGCCTGGATGAAGGCGGTGTGTGTGTAGTTGGGATGCGGAGAGAGTGCCAGGGCGACATTTCCAAGGCCAGCGTGTTGATGGTGTAAACTTGTATTGCCTTGCGTGCTTTGCTGTAGGCTGAGCTTGGGATGTTTGATGCACCAGTTGGGGTGTGTGTGTGTGTGTGTGTGTGTGTGTGTGTGTAAGCTTGTGTGTAGGCTCTGAGACCTCAGGCTCCTTCCAAGCCTCTACTTGAGGGCCCCAGGTCCCTGTCCTTGCAGGCCCGGAGGGCTGGGGATACAATGTTTCAGCTGGAGGCGCCCCCTTCCCCCAAGTCTCCTAATTGAAGCCAGGTTTCCATAGTTTGCCTCTCCATCACTGGCCGTCAGTTTCTGAGTGACTGGCTGGTGGAACAGAGGCTCTGGCTTAGCTGTCTCAGGTCCTGGGGTACTCGGTCCTTCCTTGGGGTAGATTCACCTCATCTGCATATTCACGAACCTCTCGATTTAAAACAGAAGCTCGTTAGACAGAGGGTCCAGGAGGGCATCCTGGACAAGTGCGCCCACTTGCTAACATTTATTACGTACTAGGCAGTGCTGTGACCTGTCCCCATTGCATGGGTGTGGGATCTGATGCTCAAGGGGCTGACATGCCCAACCATTGGCCACATCGGGTTGTTCTGAGCCACCTCTTCATGGGGCTCGGTAGGGCAGGCTGTTGACAATCTGACTGAGTTCCGATCTGGGGTGAAAGCAGGGAGTTCAGCGGCCTGAAATCCAGAGTCCTTGTGTAGGACAGAACAGGAGCCAAGCAGGCCCTGCTCTCCCCAGCAGGCAGGCAAAGGGCACCTGGTACATCAGCAATCGTTTCAGACCTGTTCAGGTCAGTTCTTCCGTTCCGCAGAGGGAAACTGAGGCTCAGAGCGCTTAGGGGAACCACTCAGGGTCCCATAACCATCTCCTTCAAGGTTTGGCTAGCTCCATGCAGACCTGAGTCCCCTTACTTAGCTGCCTGCTACCTTTCTCGGGGAGCAAGGAGAGACTGAGGGATTGGGGTCAGGGGGCTCTGAGAGTTGGGGGTCTTGCTCTTTAGAGACAGGAATGGTTTCTGCTTCTCCTTCCTTACCCGTTTGGCTGATCCCAGGGTGCCACAGAGAGACCAGTGCTTTCTTGAATCCCCATTGCGGTCGACACGTGTGTGTTCATGCACACACGTGTATGCATGTGTATTCTGCTCTTAGCCTGGGGGTGGCTGGGGGCCAGAACAAGTGAGGACAGCCATGGATCTGCCGAGGGGAAAATGCTGGCTTATCCTGGAGCATTCCATTCCTGAATTCCAGCTTCCCTGTGGGACTGACCCTGTGCTGCTGGCACTTTTAGAATGTTCTCTTGAGAAGTCCCCGTAGCTCTTTGAGTCTCAATGTGGAGTCACCCTACCGCTGCCCATTTGCAGATGAGCAAACTGAGGTTGAGAGGAGACAGATGGCAGATTTAGACACAGTGGAATCAGGTAGATCTAGCTGGCCCAGTGGCTTTTCAGTTGATACATCTGGGGTCAGCATGCCTGGGGACTTCTGCAGCGCTGTGGCACTGTCGTCACGGTGGCCTGTCCCTCTGGAGCAACAATCCTCCCTTGCCACAACTATATTTTTTAGGTGGCATCGTAATAAATAGCTCAGAATGGTTTTGAATGTGCAATCCTGCCGGGCTGTGGTGGCACACGCCTTTAATCCTAGCACTTGGGAGCAGAGGCAGGTGGATTTCTGAGTTGGAGGCCAGCCTGGTCTACAGAGTGAGTTCCAGGACAGCCATAGCCAGGGCTACACAGAGAAACCCTGTCTCGAAAAACAAACAAACAAACAAACAAAAAAGAATGTGCAACCCTGCCTCTGTCTCCCGAGTGTTGCCCCAGGACTGTGGTGTAGCTCAGTGGCAGAGCCTAGCATGTATAAGGCTCTCAGTCCAATTCCCCCAGGACCATCCCAAAGAGGGGAGCATGCTAGGCCAGTTAAATTCTTGCCAAGAGAAAAAAATGAGAACTCAAGTTCGGTCCCAGCACCCAGGTAAAAAGCCAGGTGTAGTGATGTGTGCCCCAGAGCTCAGCCTTGGAAGGTCAGGAATAGGGACCAGCCTAGCCGCTTGTGATTCTCAGAGATCTCCTGGGTAGGGGTAGTACCCCAAATTAGACATTGGCTTCCACATGCACACATACACACACACATACACACATATGGGTACCCTTAGAGCATGTGGGTGCCCACACCCGACAGAGGATTAAAATTCTAGTCCAGTCACCGATCACCTGTCCGTCCTTGAACATGTCACTGTCTGTTCTGAACATGAAGGTGTTGCCGCTGAAGGACTGGCTCTATCCTCTGTGGGGCCCTGGGGCATCACCGTGCCCGAGCCTGGGGAGTCAGCCACACAGCACTTGCTTACTGCACATGAGGCTCCAGCTCTGGCTCGACAGAGAAGGGGGAAGAGAAACATAAGCAGAACAGGCCCCTCAGTAATTTAACCATGTTAGAAAAGTTTTTATATCTTTCTAGGGGGCTGGGCAGGCCAGGGTGGTGAGAGGTTAACCTGTGGGAAATGATTCTCTCCTTCTACCCTGTGAGTCCTGGAGATCAGACTCAGGACGTCAGACTTGGCAGCAAGCTCCTTTCCCTACTGAGGCAGCTCGCTGGCCCATTTAACCTCTTTCGATGTTCTGACGTGAACGTCTACCCTTTGCTGTGTGAGCCGGTTTGACTGACTCGGCATCAGTGTGTGCAGCTTCCTCTGCTGCGGATCCAAGCAAGAGAGAATTAAAACATTTATGCCGTAAGAATTTAATGACAAAAACGAAGGGTACAACGACCCCCAGAACGTTTGTGCTGTTGTTAGTCACCTGGAGTTGACTGGAAGAGCCAGGAGGCTGTACCAATGGCTTCAACGGCCGGGACAGTCACTAAATAACCAGCCTCATTCCCACCTCACTTCCTGAGTCCCTGTCACACAAGAGACAGGTAATGCCACCTGCCTCATCCAACAGGACCCGCAGCCATGGTGCTGGGGACCTCTGCTTCCTGCTGCACTTCAGAAACTTGCTGTGTGGCTTGTCTCCTGTTAGGGGTCTCTACCTCTGTCTCCCCATCTCAGCCCATGAAGGGAGACTTTCCCTGAGATGGGGCCTTAAACTCTTCTGTCTTAGACCTCTAACCCCAGTCAACCTCAGGGACCAGAGCTCTCTTCGGGGCAAGCAAAAGTTTGAACCCCAGATCCCATCCCCCACTGGCTGGGAGAGTTAGTGTAAACTTGGGGAATGAGGAATTTATTAATCAGCTCGGCTGTCTGGGCCAGATGGGGTCTGGGGGGTTCATGACGGGAGCAGCCTTCCATGGGGGGAGGGGCGCATCTGGTTTCCATTTAGTCGCTGCGGTGGGGAGGGGCTGCAGCATGGGGGAGGGGCTACAGTGTTAGCTAGCTTTTTTTTTTTTTTTGGAGGCTCGAAGTGAGGTCCAGGCCTTCATGGGTTGGGGGGAGGGGCCTCAGATACCCTCAGCCCCATTCTGGTATCCATGCTTCCTATAGAGCCTGCAGACCTGAAAGCTTCAAAACCTAGAATCCTCTCCGGAGAAGGAAGTGGGTGGATTGGAAAAGCCTCTCTGCTGGAGCTTCCAACGCCTCAGGGTAACGGTGCCCTGGGGCCACTTCCTGTACCGAGGTGCCCCTCAACTTCCTGGTCTCCCATCCCCCTGCCTCCCAGAGTATAAGCCAGTTGCTTCTTTTATGCCTTCCAGATCTCTCTGGATAAGTCAGTCACTAGATCCCTCTGAGCCTGTTTCTACAGAAATGGGGACAATCATAGCTCTTCTCGGGGTGGGTAGCTCTCAGACCCCGTGACAGACTTCTAATTGGACGGGGAGATGGCTCAGGTGTCAAAAAGTCAATGGAGTGGTGCATGCCAGCGAGGTCAGAAGGAAGTCATGGGGACTTAGAGGATTCTGGGAGCCTGCTGGCCAGACAGCCTATCCTAACACGGTAAACACCAGGTCCCAGTGAGAGACCCTGCCTGGATGAAGAAGTGGAGGGTCCCTGAGGAGGAAGGACATTTAGGGTTATCCTCTGGTCTCCGAATGCATCCCTCCTCCCACACATACACACAAAGACACTTCCCTAGGTATCTGATGCTTGGTAAGCCACGAGTGTCAGCAAAGATCGTGAATTCAGCCACGCTGGGACAGCAACTATTGCGCACTTAGTGTATACTCCGGGTTCGAAACACTGAGGACAGAGATGAATCAGGTGCGGGTTTCTGTCCTCAGGATCATCAGAAGGAATCGGGACAGGCAGCATCCCGTGTAGAATGACCGGGGAGTGTGTGCATGTTGCTCAGCTAAGTGACTTGCTGGAGTGTGCTCTGGTTTCCCGGCTGTCCTCAGGAACTAGCAGACCACTCACTCGTGAGTCCTCGAGTGACAGGAGACACAGCCTGACTTCTCTCTTCTCCGTGCAGGTTCTGTGGGTCAACATGTTCCCCTGCTTCCTCCTGTCTCTGCTACTCCTCGTGAGGCCTGTGTCGGTGGAGGCCTACTCTGTGTCACTCCCGGCCTCCTTCCTGGAGGATGTAGCGGGCAGTGGGGAAGCTGAGGGTTCTTCAGCCTCTTCCCCGAGCCTGCTGCCACCCCGGACTCCGACCTTCAGTCCCACACCGGGGAGACCCCAGCCCACAGTTCTGGATGGCCCCGTGCCACCCACCAACCTCCTGGATGGGATCATGGACTTCTTCCGGCAGTACGTGATGCTCATCGCAGTGGTGGGCTCGCTCACCTTCCTCATCATGTTCATAATCTGCGCGGCACTCATCACGCGTCAGAAGCACAAGGCCACAGCCTACTACCCGTCCTCTTTCCCTGAAAAGAAGTATGTGGACCAGAGAGACCGGGCTGGGGGACCCCGTGCCTTCAGCGAGGTCCCTGACCGGGCACCTGACAGCCGACCGGAAGAGGGCTTGGACTCCACCCAGCAGCTCCAGGCTGACATTCTGGCTGCTACCCAGAACCTCCGGTCTCCAGCTAGAGCCCTGCCAGGCAGTGGGGAGGGAACAAAGCCCGTGAAGGGTGGGTCGGAGGAGGAAGAGGAGGAGGAGGTGCCCCGAGGTCAGGAGGAAGCCCAGGAAGTCCCGGTATGTGGGGTCACGGAAGAGAAGCTGGGCGTCCCAGAGGAGTCAGCCTCAGCAGAGGCTGAAGGGGTTCCTGCCGCCCGTGAGGGCCAAGGGGGACCAGAAGGGTCTTTGTCCTTAGCCCAGGAATCCCAGGGAGCCACTGGTTCTCCTGAAAGTTCCTGTGCCTGCAGCAGTGTCTCCCCCAGTGTCTAACAGGCCCCAGAACTGTTGGGCCTCACTCTTGGGTCCTCGAGGGTCACCTCCTTGGTCGAGAAAGGCATTCAACTCTGACTGCTTCTTGACTCCCTTCCTTGGCTGGTGCCAATCCTGACCCCAAATGGGCAGAGCCGGTGGCCTCTGGTGCACCCCAGGAAACATCACCCCACGTTCCAGCGCCCTTCATGACTCTTGCAATCTTGGGGAGTTCACCCTAACCCATTACTTCTCTGGAAGGGGAAGGTCAGACACATCCCAGTTGGAGCTACAATGAGACAGTCCTCAGAGCAGAGGGGAACAAGCCAGAGCCTGCCTGTGACCCAGCAAACGTTGCTGCTTGCCTCTCGGCTGTGGAGACAAGCAGGGCTGTTAGATTCGGAAGGTGTCAAACGGATGGACCTGCAGTGATCCCCGCTGCCATTATGTCCCCCGCTGGGATAGCAAGATGCAGTCCGTGTCTGGTAACACCAGGGACGGCAGAGCCCTGTGCATCTTCTGATCGCCCAAATGTCTCTGTCACTCTGCCCCGTCCAGTGGACTTGGTTAGTTAGGAAGCTTCTGGAAGGGGCTCCCACTTATATCACAGTTTCCTTTAGGTACCCCATGGAAGCACAAACTCGAAATCATGTGACTTTAGGAGCCACGGTGCCCCTCCACAAGCTGACAAGGTTACTCTAAGGGTCCCATTGGGCTGGCTTTGCTACGCTTTTTTCAAGCTGCTTGATTATTAGCAGGATGTCTCATAGCTGCAAAGGTCCAAGCGTCACAGCACCCGCTCTGGAAAACACTGTTCTCGGTTTTCTCCAAGGCACCCCGCTTTCTGATTGGTTCAGAGTTTGAATGTGGCTCTCTCAAGTGTCAAGCGACCCTGACTTGTGTGTGTGCAAGACATCTTGCTGTCAATGCTGGGGTAAGGGGAGTGAGTTCTTCTCTGACAGTCCCTGAAATAGACTGGAAGCCAAGGGGTGTCTGGGGCAACTGCTATTCTGGATTCTGACGCCCAGCCTGGAGCAGGGGCCTGGGCCCATCCTACGCTCACACAGTGGTCTGGCAGCCTGAGCACACACCGTTCCTCAGTCCTTGACAATGCTGAGGCTCTGTCCTCTTGGGGGTCTTGGGGGTTCCCCACACCTCCATTCAGGGCTCCCCAAATCCTCAGCTCTTCGGGTGTGGCTATATGACACACTAGCATAATAAACCTTGATCTGGCTTAAGTCTTTCTGGGCTATCTGTGGGCTGCACAGGTCTGCAGGGGTGGGATGTTCATAGGTGTTGGACCCACGTACCTGGAGAGTCCTGGAGGTGATGTGTCAAACACACAGACTCTTGGCTGCCTGGCTCTGCACCTGGTGTGGCCATACCACAGCCACCTCTTTGTGCCTCAGGACAAAGCAGGGGTGATGTCATGGCCGCCATTCCCTGCAGGTGGGTGAGAACCGACAGGGCCTCAGGGACAGTGTTTGCTGACATTCATTCTTGGTAGGTTTTTTGGCCTCCAGAGATGAGCCTTTGAGCCCCTCCCTCTTCTAGCTTCCTCTTTCCCATTGATTTCCCAGCCTGGGTGCTCTGGAATCCAGCTGTGGAATCCAGCTGTGGACAGGGGTCGGGAACATGCCCAGGATAGTGGTGCCTTGGGGGCTGTTTCCTACAACCTTGACCCTTCAAGGATCCTCCAATCCAGTTTGAGGGTCCTGGGCTTAGGTTTGTGGAACACAATAGCCTTTGTGTGGTGCAGCTGAGAGAGACCCGCTTCTCTTGGCCCAGCTCAGCTTTCTCCAGGAACCAGAAGAGTTGATGAACACCCGAATACCTCCCGTTCCAGGATGCTGTGTAGCTCTGGCCTAGTGGTTTAGTTTCTCTGGTGTCGGGCTCTGTCCTTCTTGACTAGCTCTGGCCCTGGCCCGGAAGCACATAAGTTCCTTCAGGTAACAAGGAGACCCTGAAGACACTGGGGGGTAATTCTCTGGCCAGCTGCCTCCCACTAATTCCGGGAGAACTCCCCAGGGAGTGTGGGAGTACAAGACCTTAACAGTAGTGTGTATCTCTGATCCTGGAAGGGGAGGGATTAAAGAGGTAGCCCGAGTTCCAGGCCAGGAGCCCAACTTCCTGGTGCCTCTGGACTTTTGCAGTGTGGTTCCCTATGTCATGATTCCCTCCGGTCCTCCTATACCTCATCAGAGCTAACTCAGCATCAACCATCACCTCCTGGCTTAGACCCTCCCCAGATATGGCTCCCTCCCTCCCTAGTCCTCCACCCATACCTTCAGGGCTCAGTGATGGCAGTGGCCCATGGTGAACTGGACCCCTGCCCTAGGCCAGGACCACTCTACATACCTGACACTTTACTCACTGAGACCCTCGGACTCTGAAACACCGTTATCGCTTCCACAACCCAAAGAAAGAAGGAAATGGGCCCAGAGCAGCACAGCCAGTAACCCATGTCAGTGAGGGATGCGAGGACGGACAGACGACGGAGGGAAATGAGGGATGACGGAGGAGGCGTGATGAATTGATGGGTGGGTGGATGAATGGGTGGAGGGAAGCAGGGAGGAGAGAGTGGCCCCCTCAGGGAAGAGACAGCAGGGCTCCACTCCTGCCTGGAGCCCTCTAATTTCTCCACATCTGCAGGAATCTACCCAGAAGGCCTGTGTTTTGGGCACACCCAGGAAACCAGAGAGCGAGCATGGATTGTGGGGTGGGACCACAGGGAAAGAACTGGGCTTGAAGGTCAAGGGAGACACCCTCAGTGTCCCCCCTCCCCGGACCGGGAGGGGGGTGATCAAGGTCTTTACGGGCTGTCCCTGTCCTCTTAGCAACCTGTTCATCTGTCTCCGGCCAGGCCTGCTGCCACTATGTGCGTGTGTATATGCTTGAGTGTGTACACGTGCGTGTGCATGTGTGTATGCTCGAGTGTACTGTGTGGGCGTTTGCGCATGCATGTGTACATGTGTTCACGTGTGTGTATATGTGTGCATGCATAGTGCATGCTTATGTGTGTGTGTGCATGCGTGTGTACCTGCTCATGTGTATGTGCATGTGTGTGTACCTGCTCATGTGTGTGCATGGATATGTGCCTGCTCATATGTCTGTGCATACGTGTGTGTATACATGTGCATGTGCACGCACATGTTGCTGGTGACCTGTGGTGGAGGGGCTGAAAAGCCACAAAGGGAAGCAGGCACTCCCTCCCCCCCTTTCCTCACCCTGCTCTGGTCAGCCCCAGGGACAGGCTGGTCCCTGTCAGGTAAGAACAGAGGTAGGTGGAGTGTAGCCTCTGCACAGGTTCTCATGGTGGGCTCAGAACTTCTGGCTCAGTGCCAGCTCTGTTCTCAACCATGTGACCTTGGGCACATCCCACCTCTCTGGGTATCTGTTCTTGTGTGAAGAAGGGGGTGTTTTATCCCAGGGCTAGGGCTGAGGTGTAGCCCAGTGGAAAGTGCTTGTCCAGCGTGAGCAAGTCCCCTAGTTCCAACCCTGCGGGGACAGAGGAGACAAAGCCTGCTGAGAGCAGCACCAGCCCAACTCCCTGGCACAAAGTTGAGAGATACAAAGTCCAAGAGAAGAGGGGTGTGGGGCCCCATCCCCCCTCACTGCTGCCCTGACCGTCGGATGGCGTGTGCATGTGCACACATGTACACAAATGTGGTGTGAGTGTGGGTGGGGGGTTACCTGGCGGGCCCATGCCGAGGTGCCCCCCTGAGAAATCACACTATGCGACAGACCTGGTATAAGGGAGGTTTGTTTGGGGAAGAAGGGGTACGAGGACCTAGGAGAAGGATGGACAGGGAAGAGCAGAGAGGGGCCATCTGGGAACATGTGAGAACAGAGAGAGAGGGAGAGAGAGAGAGAGAGAGAGAGAGAGAGAGAGAGAGAGAGAGGGCTAAGGTGAACTCTTTTTATATTCCAAGCTACCCGGACTTGGCAGGGTGGCAGGTGAGGAGGTGGTAATGGTTTCTAGGTCCCTGGGAGGTGCCTAGCGGAATCGTTGGTAAGCTAACAGTTGGTGCTCTCTGTGTGCACACGCTCCTGTGTGAAGAGGAGCCACACAGCCACATCTAACCCTCACCACAGAGACCAGCAGCCCAGGAAGGGCAGCAGCTCGCTCCAGGTCACACAGCCCTGGAGAACTGCATTCGAACACAGGTCTGTCTGCAGCTTGGGCAGAGTCCTCATCGCTGTGAGGACTGGCTGCCTTATTTTAGAACATGTTGGGGGAATTATTATTATTATTAAATGTGAGTTATTTTATTTTGTCAGGATTGTGCTATGTGGCCCAGGCTGGCCTTGATCTCCGGCTTCAGCATTGCTAAGATTGCAGGAATACTTGAAGCCGGCTGTGGATGGTAGGGTAGGGGATGCCAGCGAGAGAGTGAGCGCTGCTTCCTCCCTGGTGCTGCCTGGCCTGTGCTGGCTACAGGGCAGGCCAGCCTCTGGCTCCTGGCCTCATCACTGCCCCTCTGTCTGTCAAGTGCTAACAGGGCAGGGTTCGACTCCCAGCACCCGCATGGTGGCTCATCCATCCATGACTCCAGTTTCAGGAGATTCGGCGTTGCCTTCTGACCTCCAGGGGATCCTGTGCACACATATCACCTTCTCTCAGCCACGCAAAAAATAAGTAAATACTTATTTTATTAGTTTCTTCTTGTTTTGTTTCTTTTAAGATTATATAGCATTTGGCTACCCTGGAACCCGTTTTGTAGACCAGGTTAGCCTCTGCCTCTCAAATGCTGGGATTAAAGGTGTGTGCCATCGCCGGGCAGTGGTGGTCCACGCCTTTAATCCCAGCACATGGGAGGCAGAGGCAGGTGAATTTCTGAGTTCGAGGCCAGCCTGGTCTACAGAGTGAGTTCCAGGACAGCCTGAGCTACTCAGAGAAACCCTGTCTCAAAAAAACAAAAAAAAAAAAAAAAAAAAAAAAAAAAAAGGTGTGTGCCATCATGCCTGGCTAACAAATACATTTTTAAAAGAATCATCTGGGGTCCCTCTGACTGTTCTGGAGACAGATCAGCCCTTATTCTCTTTTATGCGTGTGGGTATTTTGGCTGCATGCATATGTGTGTACCATATGTGTGAGCCATGTGTGTCACTGGGGTGGGTGGAGCCCAGAAAAGGGCACTGGATCCTTTGGAACTGGAGTTATAGATGCTTGCTTGTAAGCTGCCATGTGGGAGCTGGGATTTGAACCTGGGTCTCCTGGAAGAACAGTCGGTGCTCTAAACTGCTGAGCCATCTCTCTAGTCCCTGGTCTTGATAGCACACTTGGCCACATGAGGCCCAGGTGTCGAGCGGGCAGACCTTGTGTTGGTTCTTCTGCTTTGGAGAAAGGATGGGCCTCTGTTGGAGTGGACCGGGGAATGTGCCTCTCTTTCAGGAGGTTTTAATTTCAAGACTTCTCTGGCTGCTCAGAAATAGCAAGCGGGGTGGGGGTTGGGGACTTGGCGCCAGCTCTGGGCCCTGGAGACCTTTTACAGCTGTTCCCCCTCTTGGGGGTGGGATGGGGGGTAGGGTTTATGGTAGCAGCTGCACAGTGAAAAATAGCCAAGCTTGTAAACCCCGCCTTCCCAGGAACACTGGTGCCAGAGGTGCCTGTGACGTCTGTTCCTCCCTGGACCGACGGTGGGGAGGGGGTGGAGGTGGGGGCAGGGGGGCTTCTCCCTCAGGGCTTCAAGATCCTCGGTCAGTCAAGGAAAGTGGAGGAGGACAGGGGTTGAGCTAGACAGTAGAAGGCAAGGGATGTAGTAGGACCTGGGCCTCTGCTGTTGCCAGGCTTCCTCCCTCCCTAGAGTAATGTGGGGCTCATGAGTGTGAGCGACAGGGGCCATGACAGTGTAAGGAACACAGGGTTAGGATCTCAGTGCTGTCTGTCTCCCAATTGTGTGTCTTTGGGCAAGTCACCTAACCCCTCTGGGCTTCAATGGGCTTGTTTGAAACGGGAGTGATGGCCCAGGTGGGAACTGAGTCTCTTGGGGATCAGGTCTCTTGTGGGGACTGGTCTGGGAAGGGTAGGCTGGGGAGGAGGCTGCCTCTCTTCTCAGAGGTAGCTTTAGAGACTCTTAGAGCAGCTCTTCCTTGGGGCAGCCCAAGGGTCCTGAGGGCTGTCGTCATGGCAGTGCGAGGAGCCTATGCACGGGGGTGAGAAACGGGAGAGCAGAGACTGGCCCTGTGATCCACACATCCCTGGGTGTGTGTGGAGTCTGCAATGAGGTCAAAGGTCACA